AACCATGGACAGTTCTCATCTGTCTGATAAAGTTACAATGAGTTTGAACCAACTCAAACACACAAGAGTAATATAATATGCAGCACAGCTAAATTTCAACATTTTAACCACAGAACTAACTATATTTACCTATGGGCACTAATGTTCTTTTGGGGCAGGAGAGAATGTCTCTCTACAAAAGGATAAAAGAACTACTTTTTAGTCTGGGTTGACTAGAGAAACAAATCCACAGAAAGTCATATGTGTACAAGAGAGAGTTTTAGATAGAGTACTTGTACATTAAGAAACCATCTCAGCCCATAAGTATGATATGAGTCCTTATGTCCAATACCAATCTATAAAGTCCTCTTCAGACTCACAAAACACATGCAGTTCCCAGAATTCTCAGGAGAAGGCCATGCCCACACAGAGGTCTTACTGGCTATCTCTGAAATGAGGCTAGACTCTACCCTACACTCTTTTTTTTTTCTTTTTTTTTTTAAATCAATTTATTGGGGCTCATACAATTTATCACAATACATAGATCAACTGTGTAAAGCACATCTATACATTTGTTGCCCTCATACTCCCAAAATTCGCTTTCCTCTTGGGTTCCCGGAATCAGCTCATTTTCCTTTTTCCCCTTCCCCTCCTTTCCTCCTCCCATCTCCCCCATGCACCCTTGATAATTTATAAATTATTATTATATCTCATATTACATTGCCGGTGTCTCCCTTCACCCACCCCTCTGCTGCCCTACCCTACAGTCTTAATCCTAAAAATAATACAGATTTTGTAACCACCAAAAGTCCTATCTTGTTCATGCATGTCTCATCTTATGCACAGCAAATATACACTGATAATAAGGTGTCAAAAATAAATAAGTAAACATTACCTTTAGACTACTTTAAACTATATAACCATTTAGCTCAAAAAGTAAAGGTTATCACCCTTGAGAATTGCACTTTAAAAATATATTTCAGTAAATGGACAATAGTTATTCTAAAGAAGTTTTCCGGCAGTAAGTTTAATATTTTAAAAAAGGACTAAAACAGCAATAACAAGTCTATTGACACAAGGTGAAGAATGTAACCAATGTCATGCATCAATATGTGTAAAACTTACTGAATTAAAGTATATTTTCTTGTGTACATCTTTACCAAAATAATTTTTTAATTTTTAAAAATTTATCAAAATAATACCATTTTGACTTTTAATATTATATTACATGAAAATTATCAAATGACATTACTTCTTATATTTGGTTACTATCAGCTTTATTTTTTAATTCTTTTGATCACACAATTTAATTTCAACTGTGTTGATAAAACTCAAGTCTAAAACAAAGAAAGATGTGCATAATGGGAAGTATAAACTTTCTCAAGATATGTCTTTTAAAATAGAATGCTTGTAATACAAAAAATCATAACCCTCAAATATGCTATTGCTATCTTAGACATTATAGAAATGCAGCCCACCCTTCTGATCTGCATCCAGGAAGGCAGGGCTACGTCTTCCCAGTAAATTTCTCAGTCTAAGCCTTGGATCAGTTGCCTGCACTCCTCCTAGACCTGAGACATATTCTAAGGCCAATTCCCCTGGGTTACCACAAGTCCCAGTCAAAGAGTAAAAGGCTACATGGTCTTAGTTTGGAGGTGAGGACACAGTCAATTCAGAGTTTCAGACATGAAAGAGCTATTGCCGATGCTGGGTTGGGTAGCATAAAAGTTAGACCTTGCTTTATTCTAACTTTACATCCTTGTCTACAACACACCTCTGCTCTTATATCCACATAAAGATTTATCCTGCATGCCTATGGCCTGACTCAATGACCACGGCCCACAGATGGAACAGAATGTTCCGCCTCAGAGCGATCCTGAGGGCCTGCCTTGTAAACAGAGAAGAAAAGCGGTAATCCTCCCCAAAGGAATGCACCAGATCCTTACCTCTCATTTCGGTAGCTGAGGAGCCATTGGACCATGCCATCCACATACTTCTGTGCTTGCTAATTTCCTGGGCTTTGCAGATGTAATGGCCTTGATCCGTGGACTGGAGAGTCAACACCGAGAGCCTGTACAGGGTCCCGCGCTGTTCCTCAAGGAGGTGTAGTCTTTGCCTGTTGGCACGACGACTGTAATTGCCATAGTAGTGCACCACTCTCAGCTTCGTCATCTTAATCATCAAGGTCTCCTGGCTGTCGGACAGAGCAAAAAGCCAGCGCACAACTAGCAGACTGTCTCTCCGTCGCTTCTGGGTAATGTGGCAGTAGAGAGTAGCATTTTCTCCCTCCAGGTAGTCCACCACAGGCCCTGGAGACACAGTGACATTGAGGGCCCCACAGACCTCTGTAGAGAAAAGGGAAGGGAAAAGTCATGAATATTGCCCACTTTTTCCATATAGAAACATCTTCTCTTTAGGAGCCTGAGAAACCCTAAGATCACAAATGTTCCCGAGGGCCTGCACTACAGAAAGGTAGGCTACGTAATGTCCACGCACTCACTCTACCTCCATGAGGACAGAAGAATGTAGTTTTCCAGGGGTGAAAGGAGGCAATTGGTCTACATCGATTCCAAATGCTGGCACCAGGACCCAGACTAATTTTTTTTATTTATTAAATCATTTTATTGGGGGCTCATACAACTCTTATCACAATCCATACATCCATCCATTATGTCAAGCACATTTGTACATCTGTTGCGATCATCATTCTCAAAACATTTGCTTTC